CGCGGCGTCTCTCACTACGTCATAATGACAACAATGTGGCTGAACTTGAACATTTCTAATATTAGCTTTTTTTTGGAGTTCAAATTAGATGAATGTGGATTAAAGTAATTTATGATTTTTCTAACAGGCTATTGAATTACAATGTAAAATGACAGGGCTATTATTGTAGAAAAAATGTCATAATTTTGTATTATTTTGTTTTGTATTATGTAAAATACTAAGTATTAAGTATTAAATACTATAGTATTTTACAGAATACAAAACAAAATAATACAAAATTATGACATTTTTTCTACAATATATATACATAACCATATATATATATATATATATATATAACCCACAACAGGGTTTTAGAACTAATACTCGTCTCTAACAAAATGAGGTCATGGCACTATTTTGTATAGCTCTTTTAAGTAAAATCTCACAACTCTTAATTTATTTTTTCATGACAACCAAAAACTGGCCAAATAAATATAGGTAAAACATTATAGTATGTATTAGTTGTCAACATTAGTAAATAAAGATATTCATTATTAGTTAAATGACAATGAATTAACTAATGTTAACAAGCATGAATTTGGATTTCAATGCATTAGTTACTGTTGAACTATAATTGATGCTATACAAGTATTGTTCATTATTATTAGTTCTTGTTAGTAATGTAGGCATAGTTTAATGTTTTAACCCAAAAATGACCAGTCTGTCAGATAAAGAAGAGCCGGAGTCAGAGATTTATTTAAAAAGAAAGTTTACTGAAGATAGTTTGCAGTTTTATCAGTAGAAACCAGCTTCAACCCTGGCAATGAGTTTGTAGGCCGCCTTGTTTACAATCTTAAAACATCACACACACACACACACACACACACACACACACACACACACACACACACACACACACACACACACACACACACACACACACACACACACACACACACAAAATACAATCTGTTTCTTATCAGTCTTATCAAAACTGAAACCGGAATAATCAGCATTTAGGCTGCTATATTTTTACTACACAAAGTCTATAGCATAAAAACTAAATCACTTCAAACAGATTTAACACATGAAAATAGTAAAATAAAATTTTTAAAACACATAAACTTTTTTTCAATTAAATGAATCTTTATTTCTATAGTGCTTTTACAATGTAGATTGTGTCAAAGCAGCTTAACATAGAAGTTCTAGTAAATTGAAACTTTTTGTCCAGTTTTCAGAGTTCAGTTCAGTGTGGCTTAATTTTTACTGCTCAAAGTCCAAACACTGAGTAGCAAATGCATCAATACGCAGCTCCACAAGTCCCAAACCAAGCAAGCCAGTGCCGACAGTGGTGAGGACCAAACTTCACCAATTGACGAAAGTGAAAGAAAAAACCTAGAAAGAAACCAGGGTCAGTTGGGCAAGATCATTTGTCCTCTGGCGTAACTTCTTGTGCAGAGCTTCAGTATATAGGCGCATAATCTGGGAATAATCAATTGTCCAGACTTAACTGAGCAAAGTGGACGTCAGGGGCTATAATACACCAGGGGCTCCCTCAAATACTGGAGAGCTAACTAACATTAAGTAATGAAAATTGTGAAATTATTAAATGAAAATGAGTAATGAAAGTAATGAAAACTGTGCCCAAACATAAATACGTTATTAAAAACCAAGTAAACAGAGTCGATAATTAAATAAGAGCAGATAAACAAATTGTAAACAATATCACAAATAATACAGTAGAACAAAGATGCAAATTAAATAAAGATGCTAAACAAATATATACATAAATAATGAATAATATTAATATTTAATATTCTCCAGCATCTCTTCTGTAAGTTCATTTGAGAACATTAAAATGAATGCCAAAATATACAGAGAACCTTCCAAAAAAGCTCTATTGTTGCAAATTTATTAAAAAAAAACTATCCTGTTGATGCACCTTTGGCAGCAATTACCTGTCTTTGGGAATTTTTGCCCAATCCTCTTTGCAGTACCTCTCAAACTCTATCAAGTTGGATGGGAAGAGACGGTGTACAGCCATTTTCAAATCTCTCCAGAGATGTTCAATAGGATTTAGGTCTGGGCCCTGGCTGGGCCACTCAAGGACATTCACCGAGTTGTTGCGAAGCCAATCCATTGATATTTTGTTGGTGTGCTTTGGGTTATTGTCCTGCTGTAAGATGAATCATCTGAAGTCAAGAGCACTCTGAAGGATGTCTCGGTACATTGCTGCGTTTATCTTTCAATCTATCCTGACTAGTCTTCCAGTTCCTGCTGCTGAAAAACATCCCCACAGCATGATGCTGCCACCACCAAGCTTCACTGTAGGGATGGTATTAGCCTGGTGATGAGCGGTGCCTGGTTTTTCTAAACACAACGCCTGGCATTCACTCTAAAGAGTACAATTTTAGTCTCATTAGACCCGATTTTTTTTTCTTTTGGCCACTCTACCATACAGACCTGATTGGTGGATCGCTGCACATATGGTTGACAATCCTATCTTCGATGCCTACAGACAATTCCTTTGTCTTCATGCTTGGTTTGTGCTTTGACATGCACTGTCAACCCTGGGACCTTATGTAGACAGGTGTATGCCTTTTCAAATCATGTCCAATCAACTGAATTTGCCACAGGTGAACTCCAATTAAGCTGCTGAAACATCTCAAGAATGATCAGTAGAAACAGAATGTACCTGAGCTTAATTTAGAGCTTCACGGCAAGGACAGTAAATACTTATGTACATGTGATTTTTCATGTTTTTTTTTTTGTTTGTTTTTTTATAAATTTGCAACAATTTAAAAAAAAATCTTTTTTCACATTGTCATTGTGGGGTATTGTGTGTAGAATTTTGAGGAAATATATGAATTTCATCCATTTTGGAATAAGGTTGTAACATAAAAATATGTGGAAAAAGTGAAGCGCTATGAACACTTTCTGGATACACTGTATAAGCAGAATTCCCATTGGGAGATGGAACTTGTAGTTCACCTCATTTATTTCATAGGGTAAACATGTCCCCTATAGCCGCCATCCCCAGAGCTTGTTACTATAAATATCTTCTGCAATAATGACGTCATCACGGGCTGTCTCAAAGACGACGTGAAGCTGTTTCTCTTACTCACAGGCTGTTTTCTTTTAGCTCAGAGTAACCCATGAGTAAAAACCGTCATCCGGCCATTACGTAAGAGAGCACAATAGATAAAAGAGAATAGACGGCGGCGTGTGCGTCCCTGCCCTCATTGCTGGCAGTTTTATCAGTATCCTAATTCCTTCACAGGCTGTGGTAATCTAAAGGCACCCACTGCTAGCATGTAATGTAATGGGTCTTTGCACTCCCCGCAAAGTACAGTCTCAGTGTGGCTGCTCTTTGAAGCTGAGGCAGCCTATGGCATGGCCTGAGTAGCTTCTTTCTATAATGGAATATTTTTGCATAAATTGAGACTTCAGACTTGTCTGTTTTTTTATTATTTGAAGAAATGGAGAGTATAGAAATTTCTCCCCCCTCTGCAATGAAAACCAACGCTGTCCTTAGGTGAATTTAATTAATACATTCCTGACCCCTTCATAATGCAGCCTGCACACTCATTCATCTGCATTTTCCCAGGAAAAGATCCACATTTCTGCCCCCATCAAATGATTCTGTTGGTTATGTGAAACATCGTGTTTAGTCTTTCAAAGAATTCTTTCTCTCTTGCTCTGTGAGCTGCGCTTTATAAAGAGTTTGATGAGTCATTTAAATATGCACATTTTATTTTGCCATTCGTTAAGCAGAGTATAGCCAGATTTAGTGTCCTTGAGACTGAGTGACTTGCTTTAATAGATTAATGTTAAATGGCGTATTTAGAATGAAACGTTAATGCTTTCATGCATATCTACTGGAATAGAGTTACTTAGAAAATGGCCAATCAAGAATGCAAATAAATGTCAGGAATGAGTAATCTTTTAAGGTCAGATGGAAGCCTTCTTAGTATGCATCAATCAATTCATTCATACATTAATTCATTCATTTATTAATTTTCCTTCGACATAGGGTGCTTTCACAGTTGGTTCAATTGCCTGACAGTAGCAAGTTCGATTTTCTCCCCTTGTCACCTTCTCGGTTGGTTTGCCGCCTACTACTCAGTAGGTAAAGCATTTAATTTTAAATGTACTACCCGGCTGTTAAAAAAGTATGTTTAATACAGTATGATTGGGCAGAGTATGAATGTAATTGGGTTGTACTACACTGCCGTTTTGTCATGGTCATATGGCCAAGCTGTGTCAGTTGTGTTGCTTCACTCCCATTCATAAATTCTCTTGCTGGGTATCATGGGATAGCGCAGCATGCATGGGATGTGCACTTCAGAATCTTCAGAATCAGTCATCCGGGTTCTTCTCGCATACTGATTTTCGAACTCTATGAATTTGGACATACTACTCGGCTCGCATACTGATTTTAGCATACTATATAGCATGGAAGTATGCGGTTTCTGACACAGCCACTGTTTTGTGTACGGTTGTTGCTAATTGAGGGACATAAAAGCAAAGTGCCAAAATGGATAGACGGTCACACATCGCGGTCATTCTGCTTTTACTGAATCTTTTGGTTTTGGGCATGCAGAAAGCGACTCGCAAAAATATTTTAAACAAACATAACGCAATGAAGCTGTTTTTGGAAGATACAAGTGGGCATTGCTTACGCCCATACCACCTTGGCAATGCCTGATCTCATCTGAACACGGAAGTTTCCCAGAGATGGGTTGCGGCTGAAAGGGCATCCGCTGTGTAAAAACTTGCTGGATAAGTTGGTGGTTCATTCCGCTGTGGTGACCCCCAAAAAATAAAGGGACTAAGCCGACAAGAAAATGAATGAATGACAAGTAGGCATTAGCACTGTGCTTGTTACCAAGGTACAGTACGTGATTTACACACACACACACACACACACGAATGAGAATAAGAATGAACATGATGAAAACAATAGTTTGTTGTACAGTTGGTGATTCACTTCCATTATTTGGTACGATTACATTCAT